CCTTTTCAAGGGCTATCCATGAAAAAAAAACCATATGTTTTTTTTATTCCTTGTTTGTATGTTGGATATCCGTACAACGTTGAGATAAAAATTCTAACTCTATCACCATGTATATTCTAATATGAATATTTAATATTTTCATTAGTGAAAGCTTCTCAAGAAGTATATTCCCCTTGGCTAACTAGTATTAATTGCGAATTAGACTCATAACGCTACCTTCCAAAAGAACAAATATAAAAATGTTATCATTTGCAGTGACTTGTTCATAAAACATGCTAATTTACTTCTAACCTCAAAAGTATTAATTACACTCAACACCTAATGCTACCTTCCAGATGAACAAACCAGAAAGAAAAAAAAAAAAACTAGAAAACGTGATCGTATGCAGCAACTCGTCCCACCTATAAAATTCGTACCAGCTATAAGTAGTGGTCTTTTCCTAGTGCCAATAATTCCCCATGCCTAATTAAAATGCATCAATACCAAATAATTAGATACTCCAACCCAGAAAGAAAAAAACAAATTTTAGCTTCAAGCTAGCTTCCAAATGAACAAGCTAGAAAAAGTTATCATATCCAGCAAGTGGTTCATTAAACCTATAAGATTAGTACCGGCAATAAAGTGTTGTCATTTCCTACCCCGGTAATTCCCCATGCCTGATTACTCTGCTTGAATACCAAATTACTAAATAGTCCAACCCCGAAAGAAACAACAAAATTGTTTGGTAAGCTGGCGACCTCATCTTTATTTAATCGCTTTCATAAATGAAGGTTGTGTTAATTTCTGCTAAATGATCAGTTAAATTTTGGTAATGTTTTTAATGTACATTAAATTTTAATTAGATAATAGTGTCCTATGAAATAAGCAGCTTAGCGATGGAAAAATTGTGGCAAAACATACTTTTTCCTTATTCTTTCAAAAATGACATAACTTTTTGTCAAAAAAGAAGTTATAAAATATCGGGCGGTAAATTAATTTTGTGCTGGAAAAAAATTTAACATTGTCATTTTGTAAAAGAGAAAAAGATCGCAATTGCTTTACTAATATACAAATGATGACAGTGTCATATTGGAATTAATTACGATGAGTTTAGGCACAATAATGTACAAAAATTTCATTATAATTTAGTATAATTATAAATGTTTTAGGAAAAATACTTGTCATATTTTAATTATTATCTTACAAATTAAGAACAATTATGTTGTTAAGATGCCACAAGTTTGTCGCAGAACAGGTAGTGCTCTATCTAGGTGCTCGCTCTTCAATCCAAACTTAAAAGGGCAAATTATTTGGTCTCGACATCCATCATAAATCTGCCTCAGAACAGCCATAAAATTTGAACTCTACAAAATTCTCTCTTTCCATCCCAAATCTGTCATAAAATTTCACAACATATTTCAATTACCTAACTACATAAATTTAAACATTAACCCCAGCATGAATTCGAAGTAGGACACAATAATCACAATTTTTTTGTTTTGTAATAATAAATTGCAGAATATAAATCAAAGAAAATGCTTATATACTTTTAAACATGTTTTAAAAAAAGTTATATAGTGCAATTAAAAATATTAAATTAAAAAAAAAAAATTGTTCAGCAGCATCGGGGGATTGCATTATCATCTTCATCATCATTATATGTCTTGGCATTCAGACCTTCTCCTCACATGATATCCTTGACCTGTTGAACTATATATGCGATCAGAGAGAAAATGTAGTGGTCGTTAAAACTCATTTTCCATCACCTGCAACAGTTGAGACGTTGTATTGTGCAATGCTTTTATGTAGAACAAGCTACTATTATCTATCTGTAAACCCTGAGATGTCGTTCTATCAATAGAAAAGCTTCATCCAATATAAAACATGAACTCGGCTTATTTTAGACATTCCAACAGCCTCATACGATCATCAAAATATAAATTACTTTTGTGTTTAGTTATTCCATGGTCTACAAGTGGGTGATAGTGTAATTCACCTCATAAATTTTAAAAGATTCCATCACTACAACAAAATACCAAGTTACTGATGAATAATAAGTTGTAAATATCATATTTCCCCTTGGTCAATAAATTTGTGACGTGCGCTATGATAGAATGTGACCACCTATAAAATCCTAATCCGAAATGCATTTTTTTGGTATTTCTATCACAACCTATGGAGGCCATTCCATTATTAAATTATTGATGGATTTTCCCATCTATTGATACTTAATAGATTGCTCGTTAGTAACTTACATATATATTATTAATGGAGTTGTGTTCTATGCAATTTGACTGACAAAATTCATATCCGTCATGTGAAGATGGATCAATGACAAACTTTTAGACAGGAATATACATAATATCAAAATTGTAATGGAAATTTTGCATTAATTTATCAAAAACATATAGGATAAATGAAGAAATAGTTGGCGGGATATGAATTTTACAAATTTAAGGAAATTCACTAACTACATTTTTTTTTTTTTGGACATTTACATTTTGGTCAATTAAGGAAAACTCATCCAAACATTATTTATACAAGAGTCGAACCCAAGACATCTTAGTTGGAAGTCAAACCTCCCTAACAACAAACCAAGGAGAGTTGAGTAGCTGTAATAAATATATAATAATAGTTTGTATCATGATTCACAATAAACCTATAATATCTTAAACAATTGCAAACTTTTAATATAATATAGCAAATGTACGTTTAAAATAAATATTTTCCTAAGCTATTGAAAAATAAAATCAAGAAATAAATAACAAACAAGCATGTTTTGCACATAAGTAAATGTTAGCACATATATAATAAAAATTCAAAAATAAATTTTGTAACCATAAATATGTTTCACAAGTATCCTCTTAGCTCTTCTCCACATATATAGATTCCCCTATTTTATCGTTTTTTTCCTTACCCTCAGCCAATCATCCCTCTACCTCATCCCATATTCATGCATCCCCTTATAGATGTGGTTAGAATAGTGGAAAGTAAATTTGGTACCTTATAGGGTGAACTTTTGCGTGTAAGTAAGTTAGGATTTGTTACATTCTGTGTAATAAATACTTATTTTATCAATGCTAAGCAATGCTTAGGTTTTTTTTTTTTTTTTTCTTTTTTGATATGATAATAATGGAAGCCAACTTAAATATATGCAAGTATATTGCCGAATCAAGTAATAAAGTCATGAAGTATGGTGTCGAACCCACAAGGAAGTTTTTTGCTTAATTACTTGCAACAAAAAAGTACAATTGCTTACTCTAAATGCATAAATTATCTTTCTGAAATAAAAATGATATTTTTTGGAGTTTCTATCATTGCATAATAAAAGTAGAATAGTTGAAACATTATTTAATAAGATATTTTGAATTTATGAATGCAAAATATCATATTTTTTCTAAAGAGACCCATAATTGTAGATGCGATTTAGAGCATATGCATCCATTGATCTTTGTTAAGCTTGTAGAGGTGAAAATGATATCTACTCATCTCATACAATTATAATATCTCTTTTAGAACCTAGAATACTTAAAGATCCTATATCTAGGCATGTTAACATTTTATCTCAAAATTCCAAATTATTCTTGCCTTCCTCCATCGAGGCTATACTGCACATTAGATTTTTACTACACATATTATATATCATTATGTGCATTAAATCAAGAACAAGTGATAACTGAGAAAATCATTAAATTTTGAAGTATAAGAGTCTTCATTAGTATTTAACATGCTCTTTGTATCATATATCCAAAATAAAAATTCTAATCAGACATAAGAAATTTCAAGCAAACTCATTTTTTTTCTGTTCATAGAAGAATCAAAATACAAGGGAAATAATAGAGGTTTATTACCATGTATGATCAAAGTATCTCCTCTATACTCCTTTATTGATAGAGTTTCTTCAACAAAAACAGGCAAAACACTCCATTATATTGTATCATGTACTTGCCTAGTCTTCCTTAGATTTTACTCTAACATGGTACTAGAGAAGCACACTGAAAAGTATTATGTTTTAAAGAAGTACCACTTCTTCTATCATATCCTTTATAAATTTAAATATAAGGTTTTAGTCATACTTTTAGCTTTTAACTGAAATCAAATTTTGAATGTACTCTTCTTCTTTTTCTTTTATTTTAGAACTTGACAAGAATATAATTAATGATTTTGAATATCAGTTTTGTTTATATCCTCTTACAATTTTACTTAATTTAATGTAACAATTTATTAATATGGAACACAATATAAAGATGGGTTGCCTTCAAAACTTCCCTAAGTTTATAGTCTTCTATTAGGCTTGCCTAGATTTATTAATTTGGTTGGGGTTCATCATTACCATTCCTTAAGTGGTTTCCACTAGGATATTTTATTTTCACCTTTGGATTAACTTCTGTATTGCTAGGCAAGGATCCAAGAGGCATGCTATTAAGTATATTACAAGCTAAATAACTAATTTTCCAAACTATTAATAGAAATAACTTGACTATGCAATTGAGTTCCTAACTACATCAATATTTCTTCCAAAGGTGACTTTCTATTTTCAAATTGATTGTTTTGATTAAATTGTAAAGTATAAGATGGTCTAGAATTAGTAATGGGTTACTGTGGATTGTTCCAAATTCCTCCTTGATTATTTTGACATAAATTCCATTGATTATTGAGATGTTAAATTTTACTATAAGCTTGCTATAATCGGAGTTTTGATGATCTCGATTTATTTTTTGAAGCTCCCGACTTATATTTTCTTCGAGATATGTGCCCAATCAAGGAAAATATTTGGTGACATATCAATATATATACTTATATATAATTGAGAACTTAAGTTTATTATATTTTTTATTTAAATTATGAGTTAAGTAGAGAAAACTTTTAATCCAAAATATAAAAGTAAATAAAGAACAAAAAAACTTAAGAATATAGCATTTTTGTTTTGAATTATTATTTTAGCACATTCCAGACTTTCATCAACCTTTGGCTTGGCTTCCTACTATAAATAAAGGACAATGCACACACATTTAGCGCATCACCCAAGTAGAGTACAACCAAGAACAAGCTAGATAGCTTTCCAATAAGCCATGACTTTCTCCATCAGCTCGGCAATGATCTTCCTCCTCTCTCTTGCTCTCTTTAGCACGCTGGTTTCTGCCGACAATCATTTACTCCCTGGCGACAGGCTGAACCCAGGTAATTTCCTGAAGCAGGATCGATACATGTTGATCATGCAGGAAGACTGCAACCTCGTGCTCTACAATCTCAACAAACCTGAGTGGGCAACGAAGACTGCTAATAGAGGCTCACGTTGTTTCGTCACCTTGCAATCCGATGGAAACTTTGTCATCTATGACGATCACGAGGAGCGTAACGAAGCTATTTGGGCCAGTAATACCGATGGCCAAAATGGAAACTATGTTATCATCCTCCAGAAAGATGGAAATTTGGTCTTATACAGTAAACCAATCTTTGCAACCGGCACCAATAGGTTCGGCTCTACTGCTGTTGTTGTTGCCAAGCGCAACCGCAAGGCGCACTTTGGTGTCGAGCAGAACATTATTGAAGTTACAACTAATCTCTAAGTTGGGGCAGAGGATGTTGGCCTTTTGCGTACGATGTTAGGTAGAGAATAAGAGCTTAATATAACCTTAAATTAGTAGAGTTATGCAGGGGCCGCAAGCGGGAATGGAATGATCAGGCATGCCTTCATGGTTGGTTTGTGTACGTACCAGTTGGTTGTTCTTAATATTATAATAAAATGGCAGCTTGATTTTTTTTATTACATATTAATTCGCTAAAATCATTTAATTTTGCTAATGACTAGATTCAGAACTATCTAATCAAAGACGCAACGAAAATCAATGATCGAATTTAAACTCCAAATATCTACTTATAATTTAGGAAAAAAATTTGAATGAACGGAGCAGAGGACTCGGTAGGTGAAATTCTTCATCCAGCTCTCAACCTTTACTTTAAAATCCTTAAGAGTTGATCAAATATTTGAACATTCAACAGCCAGCAGAACTTACATCATTTTAACAACAAATATTATTAGCTATTGCGAAGCATGCTTCCTGGTGACTTGAACTAGAATTCTTCATCTGTCAATTCAATTATACTAGCTTTCAAAAGGATCAAACTAGAATAAGAGATCATGTGCAGTTTATTCAGAAGAAAACCTAAGATCTCTCAAACCAACAAGAATAACAGCTTATTATTTTTTTTCTGTAAACCGAACTATTGGTTGATCATATGGATTGGCACAACGATTTGAGATAAAATGCTTATTATGTTTTAAAGAATATAGCTATTCTGCTTTTATTTCTAAGCTTAAATATGAGATTTTATAAAATAATGATGGTATTATAGTATCAAATGATAGTTATAAGTTATTTTTCTCGAAGTTTATTGTTCGATATATGATTCTTAAAACAGTAAAAATTAAAGATTTTAAAATAAGAACATTTTTTAACTTTGTCTATTTATTAATTTTTTAATTGTAATTTTAATGTTTAACTTAATTCATGACTCCTCTCTGTTATTACGGCACTCGTGGAGCAGACAAAATGGAAGCACAAATAGCATAGGTGGCGCAGTGTAAAGCTGCAAGGCAGTTATGATTTAGGTTTCGTTTGGGACGGCTTTCTTACTACTTTTTAAAGTAACTTTTTAGTACAAAAAATTTAATTTTTGTATTAAAAAACTGCTTCAGGAAGCAGTAAGAAAGCCGTCCCAAACAAAGCTTTAGTGTGAACCATTTATTCCTCTAATCTGGACTGAAGAGATTTAAGCTATTTGACCTTTTTATAACTATATATACTGTATAAAGGCTATATGCGTGCAAGGGAGAATAGAATGCTTTTTACATGTCTTCTTCATGCTTATATAGGTTTCTGTTTCCAGCTGTCATTAATGCAGGTTTTCAAGGTATCAAAGCATAGTGCTCATGTGACTATTCTAATTCTATCATAAAACATTATCCTATTATCTTCTCCAACTATGGACGCCGCCTCTGCCTCTCTTGCAGCAACGACTGAGTTAGCTATCAACTTTGGTTCCTCTTTGGAACACTACTCTATCCCTCCCCAACTTAAATTTTTGATGGGAAACAAGAAATATATTATCTCCACTTCATTAACCTCCGACAAATATCTGATCTGATGCTCTCAAGTGCTGAAAGTATTTCGAGCAAATGGATTTAAACGTTTATTAGATGGATTCTCCATTTTCCCACCTAAAAGTTTATCCAGCCATCTCCTATGTCTCATACTCCATAACCAACTTCATCATACCATACATAGATTTTAATGGACCAAAATCATGCTACAGCCTTATACTCGGTCATTTCACTAGGACTTCTTCCTTACGTTCCCTCCTTAGAACATAGTGCCGACATTTGGGAAACTATTGCTTGGCGACTTCAATCTTCTACTAGTTCATTTGTAATCCAACTCAAGAATGAACTCTATCACCTTTCTATGAGAGATCAAACCATGACACAAAATCTCATCGCAATTAAATAAAAAGCAAATTCCTTTGCAGCTACAGGTACCCCTCTCGATCCTAAGGATATTATACAATATACTTTGAATAGTCTTCTGACACAATACCAAGCTTTCAAAACTATAGATTGAACCAACTTACAACTACAAAGCTTGGATGATTTATACACTCTCCTCTGCAGTGAAGAACAAAACATTGCACAAGAAGATTCTCATGAACTCCAATCCCTCCATATCTCAATGCAAACCATGGCTCTCCCGACATCTCAGGCATGGGGTCATGGTTAATTTAACACCTCTCGAGGTCATCCTCCCTACAACCTCAGAAATATCAGGACTACTTACCCCTTGGGTTGTGGTGATAAATCTATCACTTGTAATCTCATATTTCAGATATGTGTCATGCTAGGCCTCTCTGCTCTTCGATATCGATATCATCATGATCAGACATACACTGATGCAACTTTGAAACTAGTGCTTTTCCCAATTTGATTCTCCAGTACGACCAGACTGGTGTCTTGACATTGGTCCTTTAACCCACCTATCATTCGATTAATCCTAACTTAGCTCCACTAAATAGTACTCTAGAACAGATCAGATTGTTCTAGGTAATGGTGATGGGGGCTCTGGAGTTAAATTTTGAATTGTATAAAAATTTAAGGATCTATCGCTCCTAAATAATGTTTAGATTTTCTTTGATATAAATAATAATAAACCCACTTAATATATGCAATTATACGTGTCGAATCAGACAATAAAGTGTAGAGTAGAGTGTCAAACCCACAAGGAAGTATACTTACTTGCAACAAACTACTAATGTTTACTATAATTGCAATAATTATCTTTTTTTTAATATGCATAAAGCAATATAATTAAAAGAAAAAGAGACCCAATACAAACTAATAACAACATCACACTTCTCCTTTAACAATTGAATAAAGTAAGGAGGAATATGATCCATACTAATATCATCCCAAACAAAGTTACCACTAAGAGCATAGTTAGCACAAATATTTGTTAACTTTTTGCATTTCCCTATTCACACAATTAAGAATAGCATGATTAAAATCATTGATAAAAGAAATAAATTCAAATCCAAAGCCAGGCTTGTGAATCTCCATCATCTTGATACTATCTTGAATGCTTTTAATCACATTTGCATTGTCCCCTTCAATTATGATGACTTTGTATTGCATCATCCAATATTTGACAACACATTTTAAAGAATAAATGGCTTCCATTTCTAACTGAGAGAAGTCCCAATGAACACCATTGAATCCAAATGCATATAGAAAACTTCCTTTATGATCCCAAAAAACACCTCCAACTCCAGCTTTATATGACATTAACAAGGAAGCATCTGTTAGGGAATGTGCCCTAAAGAAATATTATTGTAATATATTTTCTATGAAAATAATATTTAAAGACAAGTTTAGCATGTTTCGATATTATCGTTTGATATAATAATTTTATTCCATGACTATTTATGTGACCATAATTCAGTATATAATTATATACAAGAGGATTGAATTATGGATAATAGTCAAAACAAGTTCATAATTATTAATTATAGTTGGAATCTATAATTAAATATTATTAGTACGGTCCATCAACATTAAGAATGGAATAATCTTATCTGAATTATTCGATATGGAGATATTAAGGATGAAGGTACTTTATATAATATGATTATATAGAACTGGACTAGATAAATTTTGAATTCTCTAATAAATTATATTTTAATTATAAAGAATTTAAAATTAATCATAAAGATGATCATATATAAAATAATCTTAATCTTGAGTTATTAATAAACTCCTATTTGTGACATTTGGTTTTTTGATTTACTCGGAAAAAATTTGAAAGAAATAAACTCAATCATTATATTTCAGAAACACAATGAAACAAATGGCTGTGAATGTTAATATATAGATATGGAATCCATTCCTTTCATTTTTGAAAGTTAGAAAATTAGTTCCCTTGAATAATTAATTCAGAACTTGAAAAATTGAGCACTCAAATTTTGTGACGAGGTCACAAAGTTTATTATTCATTAGAGAATTAATTGGAATTCAATGATCAAGATATAATTAGTGAGGTGACAGAATTACATAGCTTTAATTATGAACTTTTTATGAAGTGTTATTTTATATGTAATGATTAAATCAATCGACGATTCAATTTTCTTTATTGAGTAAATCAATAGACGATTCATGAGTGCAATTTTATATTTACAGTGGAACAATATTGAAATTAATAATTTTGATTTATTAATTTAAGAGTTAAATTATTAATCAATTTTATTGGAGCTTGAATTATAGGTCCAAAAGTCCCTTCTTCATCACCTAAGCTCTATTGTATATTGAACACTATCGTTAAGAATGTGACATAATATAAATGTTAAATTATGATCACATTAGTAATACATTTAATATCACCTTTTAATTTTATTTTTCATGAAGAAAATGATGACTCATCATTAATATTTTCTTAATATTAAAAGATAAAGATAAGGTTGATGATAAGTCATGATGTATCATGATAATTATCATCAAATATCTTTTAATATTAAAAGATATAAATAAGATTAAAGATAAGATTGATGATGTGTCATGATAATTATCATTTTAATATTTATAAAAAATGCTTCATGAAATACTAAGAGGTGTTTATGAAAAGATGTAAACTTTTCTTATAAATAAGAGTTAAGTTCTACATGATGAATATAGATGATTCCTTCATGAGAGATGGAAGAAGATATATGAGAAGAATATTGGTCTCATAGTTTCTTCTTTTGAATGATTAAATTGTGTTTAGAATACAAATTAGATTCAAAAGGAAAAGTGTTCATCAATAATTGATTGATTGTGTCCACTCACTAAAGTATATTTAGTGGGGTGATTAGAAGAAGAAGGCTTACGGTCTCAATCAACGTTTCGACGAAGAAGATCTCAAATCTCAATCAATAATTTGATAAAGCTTTCTTCATTTCATATTATAAAGTAATTTATTAAGAAAATTAATATTGATAATGTTTTAATTTAATTTTCTAAAACTTCTGATTTTTTATTTTCGTATTTTAAATATGGATATCAAGATCCAACAATTGGTATCAGAGCCAGAGTTAATTAATGAATTAATCTTTCTGGTTTATTAAAATTCTTATTTTATATGATAAAATTAAGCCCATATTATAATCATTTTGTTCATAAGATGAAAAATGATTAAATGTTATATTTCTAAAAGTTATGTAATTGCAATAATAATTTTTATGAAAAAAAA